TCTAGAGATCTTTCTAAGATCTTTCTACAACTTTCTAAGTTATACTTCTTTTGCAGGTTTAGGGCCAAACTATGATCTTGGCCCTTTTACAGCAATATCTGGATTTTGACTCAATTTAATGAAACAGAATTACCTGTTTGTTCTCAACATTGACTGCCTGGTGAGAAAATGAAACTAATTAAATATAAAAGGGGAAGTGGGTCATCTTGATTCAATGAAAGAGTTTAGGGTTTCTGACTGTAATCTCATATTCAGCAGCTGCCAAATCACAAATTCTATTTCAAATGTTTACATAAACATTGGCAGCTGATGGCCTCTGAGATACCTTTGTAGAACAAATAAAAAAGAGGCAAAACAAGAAAAGTTAAACAAGACCTACAAATTCTGAATACTTAGAAGGAGCAAAATGGCAGATTCGGAGTTAACCCTTGGCTGAATCTGGCATGTAATTTCAGTGCAAGAATTATAGGATTTTCCACAGTAAATAAATGTGAAGACTTAGGGATGAGAGATTAATATGGAAAACAAAGACTGTATCAGAATTCAAAAAACTCCCTGCTAATTCATTCCCTTGATTCTGAACCAGAAAACAAGCTGTGCAAAACATCAAAATAAGATATAAATTATCTAAATAAATATTCCCTAAATATTTATAAATCTTTTAAATCAAAGATCAGTTATATGCTATCAAAGGAGAAATGAATCAGTACATAAAACAATTGGTGTATTTTTTATTGCTCCCCAAGATGGCTACTGAATTGTAGGAATTTTTCTTTTTCTTGCTGACAATCTGCTGATTTTAGAATAGAATAGAATAGAATAGAATAGAATAGAATAGAATAGAATAGAATAGAATAGAATAGAATAGAATAGAATAGAATAGAATAGAATAGAATAACAGAGATCGAAGGGAACTTGGAGGTCTTCTAGTCCAACACCCTGCTTAGGCAGGAAGCCCTACACCACTTCACACAAATGGTTATCCAACATCTTAAAAACTTCCAGTGTTGGAGCATTCACAACTTCTGGAAGAAACTTGTTACACTGATTAATTGTTCTAACTGTCAGGAAATTTCTCCTTAGTTCTAAGTTGCTTCTCTCCTTGATTAGTTTCCACCCATTGCTTCTTGTCCTACCCTCAGGTGCTTTGGAGAATAGCTTGACTCCCTCTTTTTTGTGGCTGCCCCTGAGATGTTGGAACACTGCTATCATGTCTCCCCTAGTCCTTCTTTTCATTAAACTAGACATACCCAGTTCCTGCAACCGTTCTTTATATGTTTTAGCCTCCAGTCCCCTAATCATCTTTGTTGCTCTTCTCTGCACTCTTTCTAGAGTCTCAACATCTTTTTTACATCGTGGTGACCAAAACTGAATGCAGTATTCCAATTGTGGCCTTACCAAGGCATTATAAAATGGTATTAACACTTCATGTAATCTTGATTCTATCCCTCTGTCTATGCAGCCTAGCACTGTGTTGACTTTTTTGGCAGCTGCAGCACACCACTAGCTCATATTTAAATGGTTGTCCACTAGGACTCCAAGATCCCTCTCACAGTTACTACTATTGAGCAAGGTATCACATATACTGTACATGTGCATTCTGTTTTTCTTGCCTAAATGTAGAACCTTACTTTTTTCACCATTGAATTTCATTTTGTTAGATAGCACCCAATGTTCAAGTCTGTCAAGATCCTTCTGTAGTTTAAGCCTATCTTCTGTATAGTCATTCATTTTCACTATTACTATCCTCCTCAACAAGGAGGGTTATAATTTTTCCATCTCCATTTTTTCCTGACTTTTTTGCGAACCTTCCTCTTCAGTCTTATTCCTCCGCCTTCTTTTATTTTTATAAGTTCTTGAATTTGCTGAAATTGCTGTACTTTACAATCTTGTTCCTTCGCAAATTAGTTCCTTTCAGTAAACGCACCTCTTTAACTGCGATTGAGAGTCCATTTTTACGAAAAAGTTGTGACAATTTTCCAGTTAAGTGTCTCATAGCCTCTGGAGAAATCTCTCTCAGTATTTCCGGTTACACTCCTTCAAAACTCTCAGCCTTTCCTTCTTAATTTGAAAAACGTCCATCCCATTTTCCAAAGGCACATTGAACTGGATTGTTTCTCCCACCTCTTCATTCAACAAACTCACTATTATTTGGCATCTGAAATACCGATACAGTATCTTCTCTTGTATCTTTGTTGCAAGTTTGAAATAAAATCCTTCTTAAAAAACCCTTCCATTCTTTCCACTATCACGGAGGTAAATGATTCTAAAATTTCTTTAAAGAGATCCACAGTCAGAATTTGTGTATTTACTGATGAATATAGTGGTAAGCCTTCATCACTTTCAAAAAAGCCAGCCATTTTTTTCTTTTTTTCCCCCTCCCAATAAAACTTTCACTTTATACTTTTCCAGCAACTAAATCAATTATTCCAGTCTTTAAGTGGTACAAGTCTTTTTTTAAAAAATAATTTTTAAATCCTTCTCCTTTAAGATAAAATCCTCTTCTTTTAAACAGTGGCTTTCAACACAGCATAATACTTTGTATCTAACTTTCACTTCTTCATGCCCCATTAGAGTCAAACATCATCTTACTTTCTCTTTCTCCCATAGAAATTCAGAGAGAAGTGATAAGCTTTCCAGAGTTAAAGTTTAGTAGTTGCAATTTTAGTTTCTCCTGTATTTGCTCTGCCTGCTTTCAAGTCCAAAATCTTTTTTTTTAAATTGAGTTGCTGGGGTGGTTGCGGCATCTGGTTCTGCTTGAAGCAGAAACATCCCGGTTCCGGAGCAATGATGAGCTTCCCGGGGAGCTCTCACCCTTTAAGCCCCAGATTTAAAAAGAAGCCTGGGGCTGTTGGGGAGCTCTACCCACACCAGTCACCTCTCTTTCTCCCCTACTCCCAGGGGGAAAGTTTTCAAGCTGCTAGACAGCTGATTTTCTCTGTTCTAGCGGCTCTAACGGAGTCCCGGGGCTAGCGCTCACCAAGGAACGTCTTTCGGTGCCGGCGAAGCCACCAGAAGTCGCTATAGTTTCCTCTTTGATAGCCAAATATATAGTTTTTCCCAGATAAACATGTTTGTGTTTGGTCTCTATCTTCCAGTTTTTTAGTCAATTTATCTGCTTCCGCACAATCCAAAATCTTCTTTATAATTGCTTCCTCTGATGGGGTATTTTTATCAGGCAGGAAACCTGGAAGCCTAGCCATGAAGCTGTTAACACAAGAGTGCCAGAAACAAACTCCCAGACTAGAATAGGGCAGGCGAGCACCCCCTGCAGGTAGAAATTACATGTCACTGTGAAGGGTTGCCTTCACAGGGAAGAAATTACATGTCAATAGAAGGGTTGCCCTGCGACATGGAAATCGACACCGGCTTCTTGGTAATGATTATCTCCTGGCAAGCCTTGAAGGCTGCTGTTCCAAGACTTCAAAAACACCAACTAGAGCACCAACACTTGCGGCTCAGTGACTACCAGGGAAATCGGATCCCTGTCATCGGCTGTGGAACCTTCAAGGTCCAGTTCAACAAATTCCAGGGTGATCTGACTTTAACAGTTGTTGGTGGAAACCTTCCAAACCTGCTCAGGTTGGACTAGTTCGAGTCCCTCGGACTGGGTATGACCGGCATCAACACCATCACCAGCTTGTGGGCCAATGACCTGTTCTGGGGGTTCCAAGACATGTTTAATCCGGAACTCTGCAAGTATGTGGACACCCCAATATCATTCAGTCTAGACCCCAAGGTTGCACTGATTAGGTTAAAACCCCAGAGGATTCCATTTGCCCTAAAACCCAGGATAGACAGAGAACTATCAGCAGCTACCTGTAGATGGCGGTACTGCCGAGGCCCAAACCTTTGTAATTCATGGAGGGGCGTTCAAATGTCACTGTTTATAATTTGGTGTTAGCGTTGCCCCAGGTCTTTTCCAGAATGTGATGGAAAGACTATTGGAAATTCCCAGGGCAGTGCCTTATTTCGATGACATCTTGGTTATTGCCAATGACAAACGGCAGCTACGCTCCTGTCTGAGGGAGACGCTGTTAAAATTTAGGGCCGCAAGGCTCCAAGCAAATACCAAATTGGGATTCCTGAAGTCGAGTTCCTGGGGTACAGGATAAATAGAGAAGGCATTCAGCCTACCCAAAGCATGGTCAGGGCAATTCAGGAAACCTAAGGTCCACGAAATCAGACGGAATTGCTCAGGCTTGCTCAACTTTTATAGTGTGTTTTTAAAGAATAAGGCCACCATTGCAGAACCTCTCCACAAACTATTGACAAAGAAGAGCCTTTGGGTCTGGGGACACAAGGAAACTGCCATTTTTGCTGCAGTAAAATACCTCCTTTCTGCTGACAGTTTCTTAATTTAGTATAATGACACCCTACTGTTGGTGCTAGTTTGCGCCGCCTCTCCTTTTGGTGTGGGGGCTATGCTTAGCCACAGTCTCTCTAATGGGACCAAGGCCCCGGTTGCCTATTTCTCCGGGAGACTTTCCAGTGTGGAGAGGAACTATAGCCAGCTGGACAGGGAAGTGCTAGCTGTGGTGACAGGGATCAAGCGGTTTCATGAATACTTGTATGGGACGGATTTTGAATTGGTGATGGACCACAAACCTCTATTGGGTCTCTTGGTGGGGGATTGCCCCACACTGGTAGCATTGTTGCCCCGTTTTACGAGATGGGCCAGTTTGGCATACTGCTACAAACTGATTCACCGGCCTAGAAAGACCTTGAGACATGCCAATGCTCTCAGCAGATGCCCCCTGCCTGACTTATTGGATGACCTGACCCCGGGCATTCCGGTTCTCCTCATTGACTGCCTGGACTCTGGCCTTGTGACTTCTGCTGCTGTGGCAAAGGACTCAGTTAAAGATGCGATGTTCAAACAAATTTGAACTGGGTTTGGCGGGGATGGCCAAAGGACGCATTTGGCAAAGAGTTTAAGCCGTTTGCAATGTGGCAACGCAAGATATGGCTGCAAGGGGGTTGTTTACTGTAGCTTTCCTTCATTTGACTGTAGCCAATGAGCATGAGTGTTTAGAGAGCCAATCAGGTGTCATCTTGTTTTGGCAATGAGCCAATCAGATCACAGTAGCATTCAGTTATTGATGTCATGTATTGAAGCTGAGAGGAGGGCATTTGTCAGTGTGTTATGTGATGGCTATACATTAGTTGGGGTTTTTTGTGTTCTTTCATTTAGTGAGCTTGTAAAACGTAATAAAATTAAAGTAATGGTGCAAAGAGTTGACTGGTTGCCCAGAAAGCAATATAAAATAGTATTATTAAGTGGACAAGGCTACAGTTATAAAGAAATTAGAAGAAAAATTGGGGGGAAACTTAATCAAAGGTGGCGTTTTTAAGTTTTTGAAGAGGTATAAGGAGACTCAGTCACTACAAAACCACACTGGTAAAAGCAGGAAAAGGTTCACAACAGCAAGTGATGATAGAAGAATTAAAAGTCTGTGCCTACGTGACTGAAGAAAATCTTCTGGGTTTATACAAGATGAAATGGTGCAATGCAATGTGAAGTTGAGGGCAAGGACTGTTCGGTGCAGACTGCAGGAATTTGGCCTGAAATCTAGAATTCCACAGAAAAAGCTACTTTTATCTCTCAAACAAAGGTTGAAAAGCATTACATTCTTGATTAAATTATATTTCCATTGATATATAATTTTACGGTACTACTCCAAAAAAAGTGGTGTTATTAGCCATTAAACCTCAAAAATACACTTTTCCCAAAAGGTTTCCATAATTTTGGCCACTACTGTAACTCAACCATTACTGGCCTTTTACATTGAACATTATCAGCTGCTATGATTCTATTGAACCTACTCCCAAGATTGAAAGGATGCCAGACTTTGATTATACACTCTGCCTCTAAACAACATCCTTCCTCCCTTCCTAAAAACTTTCCTTGTTTCTACATCTTGCTGAAATTTTGTTTCTGCTTTTTCTTATGACTTAAAAAGTCCCCTTATTTTCCTTTGGGTACAGGTAGCCTAGCCATGCCAATAATAACAAATAAGCTAACATCACACATCTTACTTGTATCAGCGCAGTAGCTCCATTGCTTATCCTTATCATAATTCCTGGTTGTTGCACACCAGAAGTTTCCCTTTTTATTATCTTCATTGATGCAAGAGTAAAATATATAGCCTTTGTACTTAAAGGGGAATACACAAGATTGTCCATGAGAATTACCTCCATATTCTAAACGCAAGAGAAAATATTAAAACATATAAACTGTCTTAGCAATATTTTATGTCACATAACTTCATATTTTAATTTCATATCAGTAAGACACATTCCTTCTTTCGAGAAAGATAAAAGGCCAATGCATTCAATGTACACTGAACCCCAGTATATGTCATTTTAGGGTACTAACTGTAAATGCTAGGAAGGCACCATGAAAAAAACTTTTAGTAGTTTTATCAGTAATTATACTCAGGGCTGAAATGCTACCGGTTCAGACCGATTCACGCAAACCGGTAGCAATAAAAGCTACCAGTTCGGGGAAACCAGTAGTATTTTTTTTTTTACCAGTAGTAAAAAATCAGGAAATCCTGCTTTCTAACGAATCTAAATTGTGCGGCACAGCTGTCCCCCCCCCACTGTTCTACTTACATTAAAAAAGGCTTCTTAAGTCTCCTTTTTCAGCGCTGCACTGTAGCGCCTGCAGTGCGCATGCACACAAAGCGCATGTTTGGTGTGCACCATGGATGCACACGTGCAGCGAACAAGTAGCAGACTTTGGAGCATTCCACCACTGATTATAATATATAGTTTATGAAGCTCACTAAAGTGAGTGCACATAAATACTCTGCAATGCCTGTCTTAATTCTATACTAAGTCCAGTCTCATAAACTTTATTATGGGAATCAGTTAACTATTTCAGGACAGTTGTTATTTCTCCTAACTCTCCTGAATAATATATCCCAGAAATGTAAATATGTCAAACCTTTATAGGAACAATGTTTCCATTGAGGAGATGTATCATAGTTTGCAGTTGTGGCACACCATAGGCCCCTCCAGCTATGGTCGTTGGTGCAAGAATGGTAGAGTTTCCCATTGTAAATAAATGGAAAGACGCAGGGACGCGTGTCTAAAATTGTAAAAGAAGACAAGATCAGAACTGAAGAAACTCCCTCCTAAGCATTCATTCATTTCCTTGATTTGGAATCAGGAAACAAGCCGTGCAATTGATCCAAACAGCATATAAATTTTCTAAGTTAATAACCCCTGAAAATTAGTCTTTTAAAGCAAAGATTAGTGATATACTGCCCTAGGTGAAATAATCAACCCAAACTATTTGATGTATTTCCCTTACCTGTTGCAATGAGCAACTGAAAAAGAGTGCAGAACAAAAGGAAAGCTGTAATTGAGGCCATTTTCTCTCTAAATGTACTTGATACCCTGGAGGGTACCATGTTTTTATATGCTCTACAAAGGTACGTCAGAAGTCTTCAGCTTCCAATGTCTACATAACCATTAGGAATAGAATATGTGACTTGGCAGCTGCTGTGGGTTTTTTTCTTCATACAAGAGGATTTTCTCAGAAATGTATTCAAGGTGACCAACTTCCTCATTAAATACTAAAACTTTTTCTCACCAAACATTCAATGCCGAGAACAAACAAGTAATAATGTTTCATTAAATTGAGTCAAAATCCAGATATTGCTGTATGTTTTATGTAATGTAATGTTTTACAAACAAATTGCCCCCCTTCCCCCACCCCTTCCCCTCTCCCTCCCCCCCCCCCGACTTCCCAGATCAAAATACAGGGCATTGCATTAACAAACATAATCTAACATAAGCAAACTAACTATAAACTCTTAACTTAACTTAAACTACACTTTAACTCTGCCATAGGTACTAAAATATCAACGTAGGAAAAAAAAGCATCTAAATATTTCATTCATAAGCTATTTGCAACTTTTTAGTCCCGTATTTGTTTTGTGTATCATCAATCCATCTTCTCCATTCCAGTACATATCTTTCATTCAAACGGTCCTTCAAATATGGAGAAATTTTAGCCATCTCCGCCAGATTAGCTACTTTTAATGTCCATTCTTCAATAGTAGGTATTTCTTCCTTCTTCCAGTATTGCGCCACCAAAAGTCTGGCTGCCGTTATTAAGTTCAAAATCAAATTAGTCTCTATAACTGTACATCCTTCAGTTATACCCAGTAAAAACAACTGTGGAGTAAATTTTATCTTCCTTTTAAGAATATTTTGTATACTCCACCATATCTTAATCCAAAATGCCTTAAATTTCTTACATGTCCACCATACATGAAAATACGTTGCATCATCACATTTACATCTCCAACATGTAGGCTGTAAGTTTGGGTACATACAGGCTAGCTTTTGGGGGTCTAAGTACGATCTATAAAACATTTTGTAAAAATTTTCTCTTAGATTTTGGGCTTGAGTAAATTTCACATTTTTAACCCATATTTTTTCCCATACATCCATAGATATTGATTCCCCAAAGTTTTGTGCCCATTTTATCATACAATCCTTCACTAACTCAGTTTCTGAATCTATTTCTATCAGTGCATTATACAACATTTTAATATGCATTGGACTTTGATCTCTGATTTGTTTTATTAAATTTTCTTCATTTTACACAATATCAATTTTCTGATCTTCTTTCCACCTAGTATACAATTGCCCATACTGAAACCAGGTTTGAATTTTCCTTTCTTCCTTTAATACCTCTAAAGATTTTAATTGCAATATACCTCTTTCCAAAATATGATGGTAATTTACAAGAAGATGAAATAAGATTCTGGGTTCGGGAGCAGAGGGATGTCAAAATTGGTAAAATGACAGAGAGATTATTGTCTTTTGCTTCCTCTGAACATGTTATCAGAACATGTATAAAAGAGTTCACCATCCACTTTATCCATCATCTTGCTAATTTTGATTCTGTTTGTGGACATTGCTACTCATATGCAAATAAAGATGAGGAGAGAGGACTCATTGGAAAAAACCTTTATGCCAGGAACAGTTGAAGGCAAAAGAAGAAAGGGACAGCAGAGTATGAGATGGTTAGCTATTGTTTTTGACACCATGAACAAGGATTTCGGCAAATTTCGAATGACAATAGAAAACAGCAGGGACTGGTATGCCATAATCCATGGGATCAAAAAAGTCAGATACAATTTAGTAACTGAATAAAAGCAACCAAAAGTGCAAATAAATATAGAGATCATTGGAAGGGGTCTTCATGGCAGACTGTGGAGCCCACAAGGAAATCATACTAGGAGACCTCTAGAATGGAGGGAGGTTTTCCCCAAAGTAATTTCTTCACTACCTCAGAATGTTGTAAAATGATGAACAGTTTGTCTATTTAACCAATAATCTTTTTCTATTAGCAGCATCAAGGTGCACAATGTGGTTTGTTTCTTTATTTGGGATTTTTTTGTGGGGGGGGAGTTATAGGCTGACTAGAACTGGAAATTCTGTAGTCTCCCTGGTCTCCTGAAAAGACTTTGTGGTTTTCTCAGCCCGCTCAAGGTATGTTCAAAAGCCTCGACCAGCACCAATGTCCAAAAGCTTTAGGATCTTTTCTAGTCTGCTTCAGAATTTTACTTCCATAGATTATTAGAGGAAACCCATGACCTGCATATTCTGACATTTGTAGTTATAAATGCATCAAAGCATTTGTCTATCTTTTCAAAGGCTCTCATGGCAACTCTATGAAATGCTAGTCTCTTACACTTTGATTCAATAACCCATGAAAATAACTAAAATAATCCTAAACTGGGACTGTTTCAAGACAATTGTTATATCTCCTAAAATCAGTAAAAGTCCTATCTCATGTATGTAACTTTGTCAAATCTTGAGTGGCACAATATTTCCATTGTTTAAATATATCATAGTTAACCCTTGTAGCACATCGATTCTGCCCATAATCATGGCTGAATCTGGCTTGCAAGGATTCAATAAGCCATGAAAATAAACATGCTTAGCCCAAAATAACAAGGAAAATTGGAAAAGAAGGGCACTCCCTCAATGCCCTTACCAGCAAAGTCTTAAACCAGTTTAAAAATACTCTTAGCTGATTGGAGAGCTTTGGCCCAGATTTAGCCCAGTTTATCACCCGTTTAATCTAAATTGCCCACAATCACAGACTGACAGTGGACAATTCTCCTTTATGCCAAAAATGTAATTGCCAATTATTTTATACGGGTGTGTCTTTTTGAACATGTATATATTGGAAAAGTTTTTAAAAAATTAAAGCACTAGAACACAGACAATTAATAGCTTTAAAGAAAAAGTTCCTTTTTTCCATTTTCATAGCTTTAATACCCTAATGTCTGGGAAAATATCACTCTTGAAGCACTGCAGTAATATACTGGCTAAAATATTTACATACTAAAATGTCTGATTCACAACTGAGCAGAGCCAACTTTTTAACAATTATGATTTTAATTTCCTTGAGCTATTCACTTAAGAAGTGGCAATTACTTTGCCAACCTTCTCTGCAAGCTAAGCAGGGTCAGGTCTAGTTTAGGTTTGGGAAGAGGACCATCAGAAGATCAAAATGCTGTGTATTGGACTGTGAAATAAAATACCCAGACATACAAACCTAAAAAAAGGGCATATGATATATTGTTGCCAAGGAAATTGCGTATATCTTTGTATCTTACAGTCTCCTGGTTTCTAACTCAGTCCCATAGCCAGTTGAAATGGAGACAGTAAAAAGAAGTAATTGTTCAACCCATGCAGCTATATGACATTAAATATTAGGAGCATTGGAATTGTAAAGGGAATTTGTTAAAAAGAAACACTGAAAACTGAAAGAGGAGATGATAATAAGCTTATAGCTTAGGGCTTCTTGCCTATTTCACAGTCAACTTCAAGAAAGGGTGTATTTATTCAGAGTGTTTACATGTTCTGCATAAATTCAATTTCCTTGTCTTGTCAATTTCTCAGGAAAGCTGTACTGTTTGCTTTCCATTTCAAAATAATGATCTTGCTTTTTCTTTGTGGGTTTGAGATGCCAATGATTGGAGTTCCTCATTGCATAATTACCTCTTGTGAAATGGGTTGGATAGTGCTTAACTTTTCAAATGTCACCCAGTGGTCTTCAGAGTGAGATGGAATTTAAACTTGGATTCCCTGATTGCAATACAGGTAGTTCTTGACTTATAACCATTCATTCAGTGACTATTTGAAATTACCATGGCAATGATCAAAAGGACTTACAACCCCTGCCCAAAGGTCCAACCATTGCAGTCCCATAGTGATGTGATCAAAATTTGGGTGCTTGGAAGCACAACCACCTATATGATGGGAAGGAGCACTGCAACTCCCTACCAGCACTACTTTGGGCCTCTTGGGAGTAAAGGCAAAGGATTGGAGGCCCTTCATCTTTTAGGCCAAGTTTTTTTTCCATTTAAGCAACTTTAAGATGTATGGACTTCAACTCACAGAATTTCCCAGTGAAGCTTGAAATTCACATCTTACCACAGGGGTCATCAACTCCCAGGCTGTGACCCACTACAGGGCTGTGGCCTATTCACAACTGGGCCATGTGAGTGGTGAACCAGAATGCACATGTGCACAGCTCCCGTTACTCACACGGCCCAGTTCCTCCACCTACTGGGCCTCTAAACTGCAAAGCTTAGATACTGCTCAGGGATGGGTTTTACTTATCTTTACTACCATGCGCAGATCACCTATGATGACGGAGGTCAGTGGGTGGAGCCTCCCACCAGTTTTACTACCAGTTCTTGAGAACCGGTCCGAACCAGGCAACCCACCCACTGATACTGCTGTCTTAATGTTCCCAATATGTTCCCAATATGGAGAAACACTTTTTCTGACTAAACTTTACATAGTTCTTGTTTTGAAGAACTCAAACCATGTCACAGCGGCTTAGTTTTCAGTGAGATCCAGCTCCTCAGTTTTGCTATATTGTAATAGTTCCTCACTGTCACATCTTGTTGGTAACCTTCTTTAGGGATGAGGGAGACAAATGATGCCATGTAATAGGTATTGTTTCCTTAGTCCTATTTCATTTGCTGTATTCTGCAGAAGCAACTAGCATTATCTTTCTGAATTGAGAATTTCATATGATTATTGCACCTG